CACCGCAGGCCTTGTCCACAGCCACAGTGACTAATATTTACCCCACAGTGTCAGGCAGGCTCTTCGAAAGGACAGCCAAACCACGGCTCTCAGTGCCAGGGAACCGTCCACGGCCTCAAAAACAGACGACAAACACACAAGCGGATGATATCACATATAAAACAACCACAACCCTGACTTTAGGCATCCACTGTGTCCTCAATTCACCTTTCTCTGTCAACAAAACAAAAACAAAACAATGTTTGTACATTTACTTTAAAAGGATTTAATCCCACAGATCTGGACTTCTGACACCATTCGAGACCTTTGACCGCCCCCAGAAAGAGAACACGTCGTCCACAAAAACAAGAAAACCATAAAACAGAGGAAAACCCAAAAGTATGCGAGGTTGAAAGGAATAACAAACTGTGTTGGAGAGGGTAAAACACACACAGAAACACACCCACATGTGCGCACAGACATAAACACTTGAGTTCAGGTCTGACACACAGCAGATTAACACACCATGTCGTTTCGTGTCATTAGCTGCCATCAGCTGACTGTTTTTCATTCTCTAAATAGAATTTCAGCACCACTCTAAACACAATCCATCTGCTCTGTCTTTGGTGGAAGCATATTCTCACTGTGTGCCAGCTGTGTTAACTAATGCAGACRTTCCGACACAGCCACAGAGACAAACAGGGAGGCATCTGGACRTACCTCTGGTGGATTACATCATTTTTGAGCTGCATTAAGTTAAACTATAAAGAACCTCTTCATAAACATGGCAAAATGGTTAAAAAGCAAGATGATAGAACTACTTTTTTTTGTTCAGAGCAGAACATTGATGATAAAAAAGGTCAAAAATAAAGCTGCCAAAAAAGAAAAAGAAGAAAAAAGAAAAAGAAAAGTCCATAAATCCACTGCTTGGAGGAGGTAGAGATGTTTGGAGGAGTTGCTGTCAAGAGTCCCTCAGCTTCTTCAGAGTCCGGGCAAAGTCTGGGCCCTGGGATGACCAGGCTCTTTGGAGTTTAAGTACAAGTCTTTTATAGAAAAGCCTCAGTCTGTGTGGCCCCTCCCCTGCTTCCGTCTCCCATAACAACAAACGCTCCAAAACAGAACCAGCTCCGACACACCCCTCTGCTTCATCACCCCGAAACACTTCACAGAAGAAAAAAGAAAAAGGACTGAGAACTTAAATGTGTCTCCCCCACGCTATAAAAAAACTTGTAAGATTTACTAGAGAAAATCCTGTAAACTATTTGCACTAGTAAATTTAAATGCTACAAATTCATGTAATATTTACACTCATCATTATCTAGTAAAAATTATTAAGAATATAGTTAAAGATTTGTGAATAAATCAGGTAAATGTTACTTAATATGTTCAATTAAATCTTGTAACATATACTTGATCAAAATAAGTAAAATTTACCTGATTTATTCACAAATATTTAACTACATTCTTAATAACTTTTACTAGATAATGAGTAAATATTACTTGAATTTGTAGCATTTAAATTTACTTAACCAACGTTAGTGCAAATTGTTATGAGGATTTTTTCTAGTAAATCTTACAAGTTCTTTATAACAGCGCACATGCACCAAGCACAATACTGTAGCATGACACCTCACAGCTACAGAGAGAGGTGTAGCTCATGTTGTAGTTCAAGACTCCACCACCAGGTGGCAGTTTTGAAGAACATTTATTGGATTCTTCTTCATGAACAACACAGACAAAGTCAAACTCACAGGTCTTATTAATGACTAGGCCTACCACTCTCACTTATGGTTACTTCTGCTGAATGGTTTAACACAAGCAAACAAATAATGAACACACAAATTAAAGTAACACAACAGACTAATTGCTGAAAGAACAATGTTAACCAATTCCCTAAAATGATTTATTAACAACAAACATGAATCCTACCCACAATCCTCCACTGCAGTCACATGACAAACAGCCAAACACAGCAGAATGCTACAATATGCATTCCCTGTTGCCTGACAACTAAATATGACCTACATTATGTCATCAAACTATTGYACACCAACAAATGTATTCAAGCAAAAGAAACCAGACAACTTATGTTTTATTTCCACCATGTCTTGTCCTCTCCTTGAAAAGTGAAACAAGGGAATGAGGAGCAGAAGTATTTGTGTGTGCATGCATCCTCAGTTTTAGTCCAGAAGAGTAGAAGTTACTTAATATATTCATGTTTATGTACTGTCCAGAAAAAGTACTTAAATGTTACTGGTAAAATAATATTAGCATTTACTTTTTTGTAGAGTAATATTGATATATAATATAATGTGTATTGTTAATTTAGTAAATTCTAGTAGTTTAGAAATTTTGATTTTTTTTTGTAAAATTTAAAAGAATAATTAAATAAATGTTACTACACCCAAAAATCCTTTTTTTCAGTGCAGCAGTCAGGAGGAAGGCTGAGAGTGAGTGAGGATGAGGAGGATGAGGAGGATGGGAGGGGTGGGGGTACCTCCACCCTCATCTGTCTCTGCCTCTCATGGTTATTTCCCGGCTGTTGTGCAACAGGAGGAATGGATTCCTGAGAAGAGAGTCACGGCTCTGTTGTAAAACTTACTGGCAAAGAGTGACCCTCCGTGTTTTTCTTTTACTGTTTCCCCTTCCTCGCTCACTCTCTCCATTCCACTCCACTTGTTATCAAAACCATGTGTGTGTGTGTGTGTGTGTGTGTGTGTGTGTGTGTGTGTGAGTGTGTGTGGCATGAGGTCTTGAAGGGACACAAGGGCCACAGGGGAGCGCAGGGGAGCAGGAATATGAGTTAAAGGTGCTGAAAAACACCAACATCAGAGCAGATAGGAGCTCCTAAGGGCTGAGAAGATTTCAGGCAGAGCATTTCCTTGAAGAAATGCATGTCACCCTCATGATCTGTTAGTGCTTGGAGTATGTGTAGTGAACAACTCTCAGCTACTACCACTGCAAATTTTAGCTCAGCATCCATAAAATCAACTGACTTGTAGACATTTTTGTGTAGGCAAAGCACGATTAGCCATGGGGGCTGTCGTCAACTGAGATAACTTCAGGCATGAATCAGATGTAGATGTACATCAAGTGGTTCATTTGTGAGAGTTTCATTAAAATCAGTCAAATAGTTTATGGTATATTTTGCTAACAGACAAGCGGGGTTAATTCCACCAATTAATGGAAGACATTTAGGCAAATATGTTGCACCATTTTCTGCCCTCTGAGGATGATGCTCAGCTATTACCTTGCTGAAGTTTAGCTCGTTATCTGTAAAACCAGCTAACCTATAGCCATATTTGTGTTTTGTAAATTTGTTTAGCTGTGGCAGCCATCTTGAATCAAATTGACTCCAAAAGTTAATCAGCTGTAGTTGTTTATCCAGTGATTAATTTGTGAAAGTTTTGTTAAAAAGCGTTTAGTGATTCATGAGACATTTTGCTAACAGACACACATGCCCACAGACGGGAGCAAAGAGCCATTTTCTCTTTCTCAGAGGGCAAGAACTAATAAAAATCTTCAAGAGATGAACAACATTTTGGTACAAGCGGATTCTGGTGATGATTTTCATTGCAGTCAAGGCAGCTGGGCACCAACAAGAGCCCACAGTTGTCTGCAGCGTTTTGGCTCCAGAGGAGATTTTTGAAATACCAAAACAAACTGAGGCCCATTCAGACGTACGACTGTTTAAGACCCACAGGATGTACACGACGGAGGGCGGGCGTTGTTGATGAGGAAGGTTAGACGTGAGGAAGAGGCTGATGGGAGATGAAAGAAACAGAGGGAGAGAGAGAGGGAACACATCTGGAAACGATCGAAGGAACACGCAGCCTGACAGGCACATGCTTCAGCAGGAAAAAGAACAAAACGTCCTTGAACCCTGCACACAAACGTGTCTGTGTAACCTCGCTGTTTATTCATCCCCGATATCAAAACACCTAATCTGATCGTTCAGACCGTCTGCAGGATTCTTCGTCCCTCCTCACCCAGAGCTGCGAGCGCAAACGACCTCCTGACCCCACGACGGCTGAGATCAAAAACAAACTGAAGAGAAAAAAATGTTCTAGTTTGGTTTCTTTACACCCACAGATATCAGCAGTTAAAAAACGTCTCCAACAGAAATAAAACAGGGCTATTCAACTGGTGGCCCGCGGGCCACATCTGGCACGTGAGTGACTTTCATCTGGCCCACCCTAAAAAAAATAGTTTTAAAGGGGCAATGTCATGTAAAATCAACTTCTTTGAGTTTTGTTATAATGTTATACTCTCACAAAAACATCCCCAAAGCCTTGATTTGACTCATTCATGCATGTTTGAGAAATCCTGCAGCGTTTTTAGGAAGCCATGCTGAGGAGCAAAACAACAGGTGGGGACCAGAAACATCTTTTGGTACCAGAAACGCCCCTGGGCCGTGTCTTTAAGCCGAACTTCCTCATGGAAGAGCCCCCCCCCATGACTCCTGCAGGCTCTCGGGTGAAACTGAAAGTGAAACTGTCTGCTGTGCTCTTAACACTAGTTCTCACTCAGTGAAGGTCTTTTCAGATTAAAAATACCTTTGAGGAAACGTATTTTCAGATGCCAAGTAAACTGCATGATAGCACCCCCCCTCCCCCCGCACCAAAATAGATGGGACAGAAGTGGAAGTTGGTTCTTAAAGAGACAGAGGCCAATTTCAAGGCGTTTAGAAGAGGAAGTGATGAGAAGATATGTTTATTTTCTATTTAAACCTAAAAACTGCATTTTAATAACAACTAAATGTGACATAGATACTTTATTATGGTATAGTATTTAAATATATGCCTGAGAAACACATAATATTACCCCTTTAAAATCAATTTCAAATTTTAAATTCGTGATTTAAAGCAACACAATATTAAAAGGTAAAACCTAAAACTTTTTTTACATAATGTTTCTCCAACAACGGTAGTAATAGTTGCCTTGTGATGAATCAGATTTAGTTATTAACTGATTAATTGATAAAGCTAGTGCTCAGCTCCAAAAACTGACAAACCAGAACATTCTTAAATAATATTATTTATTATTTTTTTAAGATGTTTTCCCTGAGAAGAATGACATTTATTTTGAATGACGCCATTAAAGAAAAGCATAATATCGATGATCTGGAAGCAGCTGTGTCAAACAGAAATGTATCAGTAAAACAAACATTAGTCTCCCTCTGCTGCAGGTTTTCACTGACTTGATGTCACTTTATCATCGTTCTCACTGGAACCTCTTGAGGAAGTCCTGGTACGTTTGTCTGTGAGCGGACGCAGCCGGAACAAAGTGTCCCCCGGGATGTTCGAGGACTTGAGGGTCGTGGAAGACGGGCAGGAGCTCCCGGCTCATGTCGTCGGGGATCACTCTGTCCTCCAGCCCGAACACGTGCAGGGACGGGATCTGCAGCGGGGTCGCGTAGAACCTCTCGTGCTCCTTGCAGGCGCTGCGGAAACCGGCGACGAGGAYGGCGAAGCGGAAGTTGAAGCGAGGCTCCAGGCTCTGCTCCTGGAGAGCGCACAGCATGGCCACGAACGCCGCTCCCTGRCTGAAGCCCAGGATGCCGTCAAACGGGCCCTGGGCCGCCACGGCTTCGCGCACGGCCACCACGCTGTCGTCGAGGCCGAGGCTCTCCTCACACTGCTGCTGAGCGCTGAAACTCTTAGCCTGGATGTCAGAAAACCACCAACCCCTGGGGTCCTCGTCCACKTTGGGTCCAGAATTATCCTTGTTTGGGACCTCTTAAAAGAAATCAAAGATGCATTCAGTAAAAAGAAAGAATCAATGATTTTACTGTTTTAAATAGGTTTACACTGCAAAAACTGTCCATCTTACCAAGTTTTAAAATCTTATATCAGCCAAAAAAGTCTTTTTGATCTTGTTTTGAGACTGATTTACTAAATAACTGATTTAAGACAAATTGTTTTGTTTTCAGAATGTGTAAGATCATTTGTATTGTTAGCCTGAAAATTTGACTCAAGTCAAAAATATCAGCCAATGGAGTAAGAAAATTTTACTTGGTAAGATTCTTGAAATAAGAAAAAAAAAAGAGTCAAATTTTAAGAATCTTACAAAGTAAAATTTTCTTACTCCACTGGCAGAACTTTTTGACTTAATTTGAGTCAAATTTTCAGACTAACAAGACAAATAATCTTA